TGTGGTGCAAGGTTCATCGGACCGAGAAAAGAAATCACCGGTAATTCAGAGCCGCGGCGTGACGCCTCCGTTCATCCCTCGTGCCGGCGGGTTGGGGTGGGGGTTTTGGAGCGGGTGATTATTTTTCCAATTATTATTTTCTATTTATTTATTTTTAATTTTTTTTTTTTTTTAATTTGCCGTTGGGCTTTGTCTCGCTCGCCGCCCTCCCCTCGGCTTGTCTGTCGGAGGGCAAGGATGTGCTGCGGTGCGGTGGGGATTGCAGGCTGGCGAGGACGGCTCTCCAAGTGCTTGCTCGGCGCGGTTGCTGCGGTCTTGGCGGCGGGGGGGGGGGGGGGAAATTATTTTTTTGCCGATAACCTGTGCCGTTGTAAACCGACCCCCCCTGGCCCCCCCGCCTCCGGCTTCAGCCGAGCGTCCCCGGGGAGGCTTTAAACGCCGGGAGGGGCCTTTTCCGAGAGATTTTGCAGCACATCATCAATTCTATCATCTTCAATAACCACTGGAAAGCAGAAAAAAACCCCCATAACCGTGGTGAATACCCTGCCGCCGTGCGCCCCTCACCCAAGGTCACCCCGGGGCGGTGGGCACCCCGGGCTGGGGTTGGGGAGGGGGGTCCCGCGTCCCTGGCGCGGCCGTCGGCAAAGGCGGCACGGCGCCCGGTGTCTGACACCCCGTGGGGTACCCGGTGCGCCGGGCCCCGTCCCCGGGGAGGGTCCCCGGTACCCCGCGCCCCGGCACGATGCCTGGTGCCCCGTCCCTGGGGAAGGTACCTACACCCCGGCAAAGGGCCTGGGGCGCGGGGCCTTGTCCCCAAGGAAGGTCCCTTCACCTCTACGCCCTGGGGATGGTCCCCAGGGCACGATGCCCTGTGCCCAAGGAAGGTTCCCACTACCCAGCACCCCAGGGAAGGTCCCTGGGACACGATGCACGGCAGCCCGCAGCGAGCCCGGTCCATCACACCCTGTCCCTGGGGATGGTCCCTGGTGTCCTGCGGCCCAGGGGAAGGTCCCTGGGACGTGATGCCCGACATCCCCCAGGGTGCCCTGGGTCCTAGGGATGCTTCCCGGTGCCCTGCATCCCGGGAAGGTCCCAGTGCCCTGCATCTCGGGGATGCTTCCCGCTGCCCTGCATCCCGGGAAGGTCTCGCTGCCCTGGGTCTTAGGAATGCTTCCCAGTGTCCTGCATCCTGGGGATGCTTCCCGCTGCTCTGCGTCCTAGGGATGCTTCCCAGTGCCCTGCATCCCAGAGATGCTTCCCGGTGTACCCTGGGTCTTAGGAATGCTTCCCAGTGTCCTGCATCCTGGGGATGCTTCCCGCTGCTCTGCGTCCTAGGGATGCTTCCCAGCGCCCTGCATCCCAGAGATGCTTCCCAGCGCCCTGCGTCCCGGGAGGGTCCCGGTGCCCTGCATCTCGGGGATGCTTCCCGCTGCCCTGCATCCCGGGGTCGCTTCCCGGCGCCCGGCACCCCCCCCCCCGCACCTACCTCTCTTGCTGCGGCCGATCTGCCCCAGCTTGGGGGGCCGCTTGCCCTGCCCGCCGGCGAGGAGGCCGTCGGGCCCGCGGAGGCGGACGGGGAAGGGCAGCTGCCCCACGGCCGCGTCCCCCGCCAGCTGCCCCTCGCCGTAGGGCGGCCCCTCCGACATGGGGGCGGCGGGGGGG